GGTACAGGAGCTCACACCTACTTTTAAAATATGGGAACATGGTTAAGCAGAGCAAAGCCTGCTTTCTTCCTCCTTGATCCCAAACAATTTATTCTCCTTTTCTGGAGGAGTGGAAACACTTCTCCAGGGAGTGCTGAAAATTTATCAGCAAAAACGAGCATCTCTGGCATCTCACAGAAATGGATGCACTGAGATGTGGAGTGGGTGGGAAAGCTGGAAGCAAGTGCCAATCCTAGTTTGTCCAGAGAAGCTCTATGCTATTAGAACAGACTGGGCAAGGGGAGAGAAGGCAGCTTTTTTGGTGGGGACCTGAGAAGCAAAGAACTTTCTGCAGATGCCTGGCCAACCCAGGGCTTAACAGGGCAGTGCTTATTGTAGTGGATACATCTGAGTTATTTTAAAAAGAGCATTAATAAGCAAAGCATTAGCTTGAAATTGAGGTATTTTTTTTAATAGTGTGTTTAATAGTTTTTTTTTTAATAGGCAATGTGTACCATAGCAGCCTTCTTCTGTTGTAGAGATGCAATGAGAAATGTCAGTCAACTTACCCTCTTAACAATACCTTTTAGTCTTCTTTCCCAGCTTGGCTGCTGTATTGTGCCTGCAGCCAATAGAGAGGATCCACTTGTCCTCTCTGCCACACAGCTCTTAATGCTACATCTATATGGATTTCCATTCCCATAATTCATTATAGAAATATCTATTCAATTAAATAATTCATATTCTCATTAAACTGGTTTATTACACCATATTTTATAGCCATTAAATTCACTAACAAAAACCGCATAAGTTTGGAGACAGCTCCTGTGCAATATCTCATGCTATGAGAAGTGTCATAGAGAGGTGCTGCATTTCATACAATGAGCAAAAAAAACCCTGTGAAATCTTTACAAATCCCAGTTCAAAAATGGGGCTTGAAAAATCTTGGTAATAATAACTTAAAATTCAAATCAACACTATGAATCCCTCTTCTATTTTTTTTTTCCTTCCTCAACAATCATCTTTCTACCCACCAGCTGATGCATGTGCTTGGTCAGCTCTGCTCAGAGACAACCTGGCCCCAGGTTTCCTCATCCACACTGCTGTGAGTGCCTCCAGCACTGCAGCAAATAGGAAAAGCTGCAAGGAATCAACACCCTGTTAAATATTTAGGTGTCTCTTCTCAGATTATGTGACTCTTTCTGTTTCTCGTGTTAAGTTTGCTTTGCTTGAAAACTGTTTTTCAGATATTTCCAGAGGCATTGACATCTCTTGTATCCCATTCAGTGTCATAACCTCACCCCTGCCTGTTGTCTGGAATACACTGCTCACTCCTTTTCCAAGAGTTTAAATCTCTTCCCTCTATAATCATGGTAGTTAAGTCTTTGTTTGGCCTGTGCTTGTGTTGAGGATTTTGTGCTGTTTTTGAAGCGGTGCACAGCCTGGGAATCCCAATGGAATTGAGCAGTTTAACTACAAGCTATTTTATGGGGAATTTTCAGCTGGCATGGTGATAAGACTTTGCCAGCTGGAGTCCAAAGGCTGTGCTTGATTTCCTGGCAATAAAGGCCATTGCACCCACCTTCATCCTTCTTGGAGAGCACAAAGAGAGACTGCTGGAGGAGAAGCTGCTCCCCTCTGTCATCGGGAGTGGAGGCACCATGTGCTGCCTACGTGATGCCAATTCTCTCTGCTTTAACTGGCTCTGAGTTACATACTGCATATCTTTGTGCATCTGACAAATTATATGACAGGTTACAGATTATTCTAATCTGCGCTGCTACTCTTCTGGTATCTGAGAAGGGAGCGCCTACCATATGTGCTCTGTTATCCTAGCTAGTGTAGCCAACCTTGTTTATCGGCCGCCTTCACACCTTATGTTATTCTGTGATTCAAAACTGGTTTACTGTTAACTGTTTACAGTGATTTGAACAAGACAGACTTGTCAAACAGACAGGAAAAAAGGTTTAATTGCTTATTTCCCCTGGTCTCCTGGGGCTGGATCTGTAGGATTCCATTAAAGTGATTAAGGAGAGAAGCAAATGGCATATGTAAGCTGACTTGTTTCCTGGCTCTCCCAGCAATTGTCCCTGCTGCAAGTTGACACCATTGAATGTCCCAACTTTCATCCTTTCTTATCCCACTTTTTTTCTCTCAGCAGCAGAGATGGACAGAAGGGATGAGTTGTGTTTGAGAATTATAGACTCAAAAGGCTATTGTGCAAAGAATTGTCTGCTGCATTGCTGATGTTTGGAATACTTTTTGTACTTGTTTTACTGTTACAGGAAGCATTTCACCCTGCAATGTCATCCCACATCTTCCTCCATAAGATCTTGTGAAAAATTTACATAAACAGACTTTGTCTTAGCAGTCAGGCATTCCCTCCTTAGAAACCTGGCAGGATGGAGAACAGCATGTGCAGCCTGTGCAGGGCAGGGTGTTCTTTGGCTTTGGAATGAGTCACAAAGCCTGATTTAAAGAATTCATGCTTAGTAATGTGACAGCTGTGATGATGGGTGTGCAGCAAGGAAACAGCTAAGGGACATGTTAAGTCACATGAGGAAAAGCAGATCTTGGCTGCAGATAAGTGTGTTGGTTTTCACCCATTTTGATGAAATGAAAGCTGTGTTGACCTGTTACATTTGTTCAACACTAGACTCATGGTTGGTGAATCAGTACTGTAGATTTAGAGTCAATGAGGCAATTCACAGTTATATATGAAGATCTCAAAAAGAGGAGGGGACAAGAGTAATGTGGATGAATGACGTGGTGAGAACCTTTTCCAAAAAATGCTGTAGTTTCATTGATCTATACAGTAAATTACATTAACCAGCAAAATTGACATAATGCAGCTTTCCCTTTTGAAGAAAGCTGGGGAAACAAGTGAGGTGAGTACTCTGAACAAACAGCTCTTCTACCCAGTCTTGTGTCTGGTACTGATGCTTTCTGTCCTGTATGCTCTACCATTTCATTTTTGGTGTTTTGCAGTCAGTTTCTGAAGTGCATAAAGGACCAGAGCAGCTGTGGCCAAAAGCACTAATTTCACTCTTTCTCTGCATGATTGCCTGCCTGTCTTTTAGGGGTTTAATACAGGGATATATTCTATTACACATAAATACATTCTACGTATATCTAAAGTCAGAATTGGGCAGCAAGCAATTGGTCTGGCTGGAGATGTGAGTTTCTCTGCTTACAGAAAGCAGGGCTGGGAGACAGGTAATCTTCCATATCCCATTTTCTTCTACACTGGTAAAACTGCTGTTCCAGTTGTTGTTTTTCTCATCTGCTTATTGTGAGTCTGTGATTCCAGACTGGAAAGATCTGATGCTGGGCCTGAATTTGAAGTTCATAATTCAGCTTTTTATTTTTATGCTGCTGCATGGATACCCTGGTGTTTTAACAAAGTTGCACAAATGCTGTGTATTCTGACTGCTCAGGAAGAAGAATTATATTTGTGTGAACTTCTTGTGGATCTGTAAAGGAAGCGCAGAATTACTCTCTCTTGTGTCTTTGACTTCGTACTTTCAATGTAGATTTCTTACTTCGTCCATAAGCAGGTGCAGACAGATGAACTGTGCGTAAGTTTGATGCCACGCTGGGTTCAACTCGGGCTCTCTGGTACTATGCTAGTTTGGAAACCACTGGAAGTAGCCAGGTCAAAATATGCTTGGGCACATTTTTTCCCTCCAAAAACCCTGCAGGTACTCCTCCAGTGACTACAAAGTTGTGTTACCCAGATGTGGCTTTACCCTGCTTAGGTATAGCAGAGCGGAGTGCAGAACCCAAGGTGGAACTAAAGAATGCTATTGAACTGCAGAAGATACTCCGGGTTTCCTGGTCAAAAGTTCCTACATGCATGTACTCTGCAACCAAATCAGGGCTTTCTGCTGAGCCCCAGCCCACAGGAAGAGTAGAGCACGCTGAGGCAGTGTGCACACAGCCTGCGAGAAAAGCACATACAGGAATGTAATTAGCTCAGGAAAATATTTGCCACCAGTACAACACGATGCTTCTCAAATTAGATGATGCTGGAAGGCTGAATGCTGGGGTTTAAAAAAAAAATCCCAAACAAAGAAAAAACCCTACTACCTTGTTTTAAGTAGATTTAATGCAAAATTAAGGTAAAGCCTAAGAGAAATATAGTGCTTTAACAGTTATTATGTTGTAATGTATTCTCTGATTCATCCCAGCCCTGAGAAATTAACCCATTCTTGACAGCAGTTAGCAAGAAAGTTATGGTAGTTCTTTTTAATAGATGGGGAGATAGCAGTTTGAAGCTGCCTTTATTTTTTCCAGACATTGGTGGAAGAAAAGAGGTTACTTTTTTTCCTGGTTAACTTTTTTATTTCTTGTTCCTGTCTTCATGCATGTTTTGTGGTTTTGTTGTGCTTTTTTTGGTGTAGCTTTCAAAATTTCAGTGTCGCGAGGAAGAAATGCTTGGCCAAATTCTGTCCTCAGTTACTTGTGGGGAAAAAAGAAGTCAGAGAAATGTATTGACATTGCTGGTATAAAGCTGGATGTTTTTTGAAGTAACCCAGTACAAACCAACAGAAATGTATCCTTTTCTCTTTGTTAATTTGTAAATTGACTTGTATAACTTGTAAATAATTAGTTATGAGGCCACATAACTAAAACACAGCTGTTTGTTTTCTACTGCTTTCAATTCAAGGCAGAGGGTCCAGCCCCTTCCAAAGGGAGGTGACCAAAGCACCGTTTGTCTATTGGCAAAATGGTCAAAACTGCGATATCAAACCTAAAACCACCGCAACGTTACGCTCTGGCTTTGCAAAACTATCCTTTTTGTCGATGCAAATGCTTGGCTGCCGATGCTCAGGGGCAGGAGCAGAGGTTCGGGCGCGGAGCCCGTGCCGTGGCGGTGTGACGCTTGCGGCCCGGCCGCGGCCCGGCATTCCCATGGCAGCGCGGCATTCCCGTGGCGAGCGCCGCGCTGCGCCGGGCGGCGGCCGCGCTCTTTGACCCCGCGGCTGCCCCGAGCCTGCGGCCGGCCGAGCGCTCCCTCAGCCCCGCGCCGCTCTCTCCTGTCGTCTGCAGACAAGAAAAGGGCAGGCAAATTCCAGCCTTTCAAGAAGCTCTTCGGCAAGAGGAAGAAAAGAGAGCCCGCCTCAGAGTGCGAGGAGCCCAAACTGAAGCCCAGCCACTCCTTCGGCAACATCTGCAACGGCGCCTTCTCCTCGGATGACGAGCCGGGCGGGCTGAGGTGAGTGCCCCGCGAATGCTGCCAGCGCCGCGCACACCGCCCCGCGTGTTCCCTGCTCTGTGCAGCCAAACCTGGCTTCTCCCTCTGCAGCAGTTTAGCAGCAATTTGTGCATCGCTTGCTCTGAAGCGTGTGCACCTCTCCTTCCTCGGAACGTGACACCTGCTGCTTTAGACCTCGAAATCTGGCTGCTTGAGGGGCACGTGTGCTGCTCTGCAAATCAGAAATCCCGGGGGGAAGCAGAAATGGATTTGAATCCAGCTCTGTGATTTAACACAGAGCAGAGGTATTAATGGCACCCCTGTTTTTCAAACTGGGAGGAGAGAAACTTGAACTGGCTGTTATAGATACTTTATTGCACACATTTCCCTGTAAGGTGCTATCTTGGAGTTATCCTTTTTCACTCTATCCCAAATAATTTTTGCATTGTAATTGGGGTCAACAAACAGACTGCTTTTATTTTGAACCAATTTGAATGTGGAGTAGGAGAGGGGAGAGAGGCACCTGAAAATCAGATCATATTCCAATGACAAAGGACGATGACAGAAGGACAGCATGAGAATTTTCTGTGGGGATGGTGGCAGTACAAAACTGTACAGAGTAAAAAAGTTAGCAATCTCTAACTAGGAACAGGAAGAAAAAAATCCCAAACCAAACAAACCCGAAAAAAAAAAACCAAACAAAAACCCCCTTACCCCTATAGCAACAAAGCCCCAAGACCAGATGCACAAACTGCTAGAGTCAGTAACACCTATTTCACTTTCCAACTGCACATCTCAGAGAGGTTAGCTGAGTCCTGATCAAAGCCTGCTGTTTTGGAAGCAAAGGAACTGTTTGCACTGGGAAGTGTATGTGGAAGTGTAACAAAAAACTCTGAAAGGGTAAAAAAACTATTCCAAATTCCTCTGCTCGAGAATGAAATGTGTATCAGAAGTGTCACCCTGTGCAGTATTTCTAATGGTGTCTATGAAAACATGATTTTAAAAATTTTTTGGGGGGGTGGATTTTTTAGCTCTGAGTTCTTTACTCCATTCTGTGAAATTCCTTGAGTACCAGATTTCCTTTTGGTTTCTGTGGTGTAGTTCTGTACACCTCTTTTGCTCTTCCCGGCTTTTTCAGAAAATCAGTACTGAGCGAAGCCACGCTGTAGCTGGAGGTGTGACTGAGCACTGTTGTGATGCATTGCCTGAGTGCACGATGCCAGGCCACTGTAGGAGGTTTTAGTTTTAAGATTTTAGTGCCTTTTCCCTCACAAGCAAACTCAACTGCATGATCTCACTATCAGGCATTTCCCACTTGGCATAGCTGAAAATGCAGCGCTGCACCCAGAAACAAACAGTGATATGGGAACTTGTCCTGTTCCTCAGCAGTGACGTGAAGGTGTGGCAGACCTTGTTTGAGACTGTTAAATGTTTGCATTTTTAAACCTATTAATTTTTCTAATTAACAAAAGCATTAAAAGTTAGCTTCTGGTGGAAAAATCAGACTGTACAATTTAAATCAGAGGGGATTGGTAAATGTGAAGGGTCCCATGTCTCATCTCAAGTGGACCATTTCTTTCAGTGATTCCTCAGAGGTTTTAGCTAGAAATACTCACTCAAAGCTCTGTCTTTCCTGTCGGTTTTCATGGTGCAAATATTGGTGGGATTTGATGATAATTTTCAGTTTACAGGTGGTTTTTGCCATATTACTCATTTTACAACAAGCATAAGTGTTCAGTGCAGTGCATTCAGTTGCTTTGATAGCTTAGTTTTGCCACTCCAGTCTGTTTTCAACATCTTCCATCTGTTATTTTTTTTAGCCATTCCTGTAATTTCAAACATTTATGAATTGAGTGCAGAGATAGGCTAACTAAAATAATACACATCATTGTTTACAAGTTATCTAACAGTAAATGCATTGCCATACTTTCCACTATTCATACAGAAACAGACTAGAGCAAATACAAATAACCAGTGGTATATTTACATAAGCAAAATCCTGAGAAGTTTTTTAATACCATTTGCTTCAAATTCTTTAAGATTGTACAACATCCGTATAGTAAAAAAGGCTTAATAAAAGTTCCAATTTTGCAGTAAAAGCTCTGGGATATTCCCATTCCTTTAATAAGCTATATTTCTTCCTCAGCCTGCACATGAATTTGTTATCTACAGATGTGTCCTGTGGACATATAGCTTTGTTTTGGGGAGAGGAGATGGTTGTTTTGAAAATATATTAAGGGAGGAAGCTGCTTCAGGAAGGTAGACACAAGCAAATGAATGAGTGTGGGCTAAAAAAGACGTCTGTATTGCCTCCAAGACCTAAGCTAGTATTTCACCTAGTACTGTATTGGCTTACAAGCCTGCTCACAGCTAACACCTGAATCTCTAATGGGGGCTGTGCCGACTGGCTGGCTGATTCGTGCCCGGAGCAAAGCAATTTAGGTAATCTGCATGTGGTGTAGATTGACTAGCTGAGTTGGAAGCAGCCTGGGAGATCTGCCTGTCCATCCTTTCTTACATCTTGGATTCATCAGATGCAAATAACTTGCTTGGTATCCTGATGTATGCACACTTCAGCCTCTTTATACATCTATGTTATTTTGCAATACACAGGTGGGATGTTTCCTGCTGCAGTTTGTCTGGAATTCCTTTTCCCGTTTCTATATTGCCCTTCTTGAGTTTACAAAGTTAAAACTGTATTCATTAACTTTCTGCCCTAACCATAAGGGCTGGGAGATAGAAGTACTGACTACAAGAAATCGCCACAAGTTTGTGGAGCTTCACTGAAGTCTGCAGGAGCTTCTGTTCTGAGGCTATGATTTGGCACCTTAAAAGACTTTATATTTGTTTTTTGTCACAGTTGACAAATACTCAACTTCTGAGAAAGCATTGTGAAGACAGACCTAGAAGGGTACTTGTGCAGTGCCCTGCTGAAGTTTGTCACTCTGGCTTGATGTGCAGAGGCAGTGGGGAATTAAATTTCTCTTACTGGGGGTACAGTAGAGTACCTCTCCTTAGGCTGAATGCAGTATTTCAAAGGACCTGGAATTAGACCTGTCAGGTGTTTAGGACTCAAGTGTGACATCATTGACCTTCCAGGAAAAAGTCTCTGAGCAAACTTCAGTGTCTTGACAGTGACTGCCACAAAAAAGGACCCCTTTACTTGCAGCATTGGGCAGTTCTGTGTGAAGCAATCGAAATCAACAGTAAAAAACGATCTGTCTACCCACTTGGAGTTTCAAAGACCTCCCAAGAAACTTTCTCTCTGTCACATCCATACATCCATTTTTCATACACTGGGTAAGTTTTTTTGTTGTTGTTGTTTGTTTGGGTTTTTTTTTGTTTGTTTGTTTGTTTTTGTTGTTGTTGGTTTTTTTTTGTTTGTTTGTTTTTTTTGTGTATTAACTGTATTTCTGCAATTGGCATCTGCCAGTCCTAATTTCCTTTCTAAGTGCCTCATTTCGAGTGCCTTCTTGACTCCAGTGGAAGTGCCTTGTTGCTGTGGTGGTCCACCTTCTACTAAAGACTTCACCTTATCAGAGCTCTGATTTAAGCAAGTATCTCTTCAAGCCCAAGCAGAGCAAAGCAACATAGGGCATTGTAAGAAATTTCATTTTAGACAAAAAACAGGCTTGGGTTTTCCTTACTTGTTTCAGCTGACATGCAAACACCTGGAAAAAGTTTCTTATTTCTGGGTTATGAGGTGTGTTGAGGATGTTTCAGAACAGAAAAGCTTATGGCTGTAGTTTTCCATTTGCATGGCTTTTGAAAATAAATTCTATTACAGGTTTTGGTGAAATTAGAGTTGTTTCTCCCTTTTTGTAATTTATATTGCAGCTGAGTAGAGCAAAAATAGGAGTCACAACCACCCTATGAATGGCCATTTCTGATGTGTACTCAGTAGCATGTGCCAGAGCAGAGAAGTAGGGAAAGCCTTCCTGAAGTGGTTCCTGGTGTCTTGAGAGAGCATAAGGCTGACATCACACTCAGGATTTCTGCTGACCTTAGCTTTTCTTGACACCTCAAGTCTTTACTTCCTTCTGTTACGAGCTTGCTGAAGTCTTTGTGCTCCAGCAGCTTTCTTCTCACGTGTGTGATCTGGGACATTTTATTACTTGTTCCAATTTTATCACTTAGTAGAAATTTGCAGTAAATGCCTTTAGCTTGCCTTTTGTTTTTCCAGCTGCTACTTGAGTGCTAAGCTGCCTGTAGTTTGTATGTGATCCTTAGAGCCCTTCAGTAGAGCATGTTTCTGCAAATGCTGACATTGTATATCAGGTGCTGCTCTGTTTCTCCTTTTTAACTGGTCTTTTGTGCTCAGCCTGACTATTTTGTCAGCTTCATTTTCACCTCAGTAATCCCAGAACTGTTTTCACTCTGGTTTTTACTTCTATCCCATAGGCTGTCTTGCTGTATTCTCATGGAAGGTTAGGCTGTCTCACAGCCCACTTGTCCTCTCCCTTGCCTCCCTTTTGGATGTTTTTGTTGCACTCCCCCTCCTAATCATCATGTCTTCATTTCCTTTCAGGATTCTGCATGGCAACTGTAATTTTCAGCAGCTGGTGAGGTCTAGGGCTGGGCTCTGGATAAAACAGATTTGTCACCTGTAATGCAATGTATTGTCTTATTTCCTCTTCCTTGCCTTCCTTATCAGCTAAATGCAGTTTCTATATAACACCTATTCCTGACAAGGCTAATGTAGACTTTTCACTTCCTTTTCTGTACATTTTGCCATGTTTCAGGGCAAATTTTGTGTAAACATAGGCTGCTATTTCACAAAATAGTGTCACATGCAGTAGATTGCCAGGTCAAATGGAAGCTGGACCATTTAGAGAGTCCTGTTCCTTTTACTAGTCTGCATAGTTTTATGCTAACTGGTGAATTATTCACATCCTCAAGCTGCATTAGGAGCCACTTGCAGAATTACTGTAAACCAGGGCCATGCTTTTCTTTGCACATGCTGACACCTCCTGAGATTAGACAATTAACGAATAATTACATAAAATTCGTTTGTTGAGAAC